CATGGAAAAATTTAGAATTACTATCACCATCTTTAAGCCATCGCATTTTGGATCTTTGTTTCCATCAGGAGCATAAACGTCCAAGCGTCGAATTAAACTCCCAAACTTTGGCTCTCAACAAACCAGTTTTTTGATCTGAAATACCACCCGCAGATGATTCTTCTTCTTGGAGCTCCATAATATCCTTCTTTAAACTATTTTTCAACTCAGTTAAGCTTCTATGTTTAGCTCTATTCCAAAAAAATAGAGCTTTTAAAGATCACCTGAATTTGTTATTCAAACTAACATCTGAGTTTCCTCCTGATGGCTTATTCCAAGCAAACCAAACCACAGAGTGAGAAGCTGGATATGATAACTAAGTATCTTTAAACCTCTGATTACAACTTTTTTGAGCGATTGGAGAAGATATCTTTAACATAATAGGACAATGGTCTGAAGCAATACGAGCTAAATGCCTTACAGCTGCAAGCTCCAGATAATTTAAAGCTGTACAGTTAAGAATGCATCGATCCAACCTTTCTAAGATATGTGCATTACCAAATTTAATATTGCACCACATAAATTTGGGACCAATAAATCTAGTATCATGAAAATCACAGTCCCTCATGAACGAATACATGTCTTGAGCTCCTAGTGACAAAACAAATTTTTTACCTCTTTTTTTTTCATCTTGGGATAAAATATAATTAAAGTCACCTCCTAGGACCATAGGAAGTTTAGAGGATGAAAATTTATCCAATTTGCTCCATAGGATTCTTCTCTCACAACTATCTGTGCTACCATAGATTGTGGCTATGACCCAAGAGATTTTATTTGCAATGTTCAATTCTCCCACTACTAGCTAGTTAGAAGCCTCCATAACAGAAAACCAGGCCAAATCTGACCTCCAACATACCATAATGCCACCAGATAATCCTCTAGCTGGAAATAAAAAGAAATCCCACAAGTCTCCTATAAATCTTTTAAACTCAAAAGGATTTATAGAAGAAATTTTAGTCTCAAGAAGACCCACAAAAATTGCATCATTCTCCTTCACAATTTCTTTCAAATACTGGGAGGCCTCAGCTTTTCTAGCCCCCTTATAATTCCAAAATATAAATGAGCTCATTTTGGATTAGAAGCGGGTAAGGAACCACTACCTTTCCTTTTGATCAACTCACCTTTCCTGTTTTTTTGAAGGTAAACTAACATTGTCCAAGAACTTCAATTCTTTTTGAAGCTTAAAATTGATCACATTAGGAGCTGGAACTGTTGATGTGATTGGAATAGTAGTATTCTCATTAACATCTTCAATAATCTCCCCATCTTCTTTCTCATTCTTGTCACCCGTGTCTTCATTATCTACTTCAGCTTCTTTGTTGGTATCCATATCCAGATTAACATTTTCATCACAAATAATATTAAACCTATATCCCTTAACACAGAACACAGGCTTTTGAATGGCAACTGATTGTTTAACAGTATTCATACTATTAAATGTTTCAGGAATCACCTCCGACAAAATGTTCTCAATGTTATTAGCATTAACATCAATGCAAGATGTATTAATGGTTTGTGAAGCTCCTTTGTCACCTTCATTGACTCCTGTTCCATCTGCATTAACATTTTTTGTGTTATTAGAAATAGTAGAATTCTCCACCCTTGGCTTAGCTATATAAATTTTCTTCTGCAATATGCCACCATACTTTCTACTATTGACATGAATCCATGGCCCATAGTCGGCTTCACTGTTTTCACCCATATACAGGCTTTTATCAACAGCCTTTTCCACGTTATTCTTCTTTGGTTCAGCTTCAATTTTATTGTTGTTAACTTTCATTCCATAATCATCATCCTTATGGAAAATTTTACCACATTTATAGCACAAAGACGACATTTTCTCATATTCAAATTTCTGAAAAAAATTTGCCATTCTTTCCTTGAACCCATACGCCCAAAGGAAGCTTCTTATTAAGGTCTACACTAACACATACCCTTGCAAAATTCTCTTCTACTCCACTGGAACATATTCCCATCTATCATAATCGGAATACCAATAGCAGAAGCAATCCGAGTCACATTAGTTTCATCTCAGCAGAAAAGAGGGAGATGAGCCAGTCTTGTCCAAATTGGAGCAGTCAGTCCTTTCAAGGATGACGTAGAGAACTCCGGAGTCCATTTGTGAATACCCACAATGTGGCCATTGACAAACCATGGGCCACCAGATAAAACCTTCTCCATGGAATATGAAGAAAAGAATGAGTAGAGAATCCAGCCAAGTCCTTAGATTGTTAGATGAAACTTTCCCAATTGATTCCACTGCCTGCGTAGCTCCTGAGCAATAAAATGAACAGGAATGTCCTTCCCAAATACTTTTACCACAATTGATAATTTTAGTTTTTCATAATTCTCAACAATTGCTGGTTCAAATAATTTAACAGATCTATCCTCTGTTAACACAGTCTCTTCCCTAGCAAATTTGACTTCAATATTTGGCTTCCTATTCCATGGATTAGAAAGCTTAGAATATCTATTATCACCATCATCAATACTTTTTCTATCAACATTTATAATCTTCTGAGTATTTCTCCAAGCAGCTGGAGGGTCATTGAAAAGGATAAGATTTTGAGTCTTATCAAGAGGATTAGGCAAACCAAATCTGTTCACAATCAGATTCATCTTAGATGACGACAAAGCTTCAACATTGTTGTTTATATTCCCGACTGAATAATTGAACGAGACTCTAGGGTTCTTGACCATATCATCAACCATCAATTGCTTACCTTTACCCAAAATAGGTGAAGGTGTCTTTAGAACATCAAGAGATGGTTATTTGATTTTCAAAGCTCCGGAATTGATAGTACATTTCTGATCAAAAGTGCATTCCGACACACGGGATGTCAAGGGAATAAGATCAATAGAGGATTGATCCCCAGTAGACGAAGCCAAAGGATCCTTCCTAAAAGTAGAACGATCCAATAAAGTGGGAACCGAGAAAGAGTTATGAATCAGACGAATACTATCATCAGATTTGAACATCTGGGGAGAATTGTAGGTGGATTCGACGACTGGAATCAGTCGCCGGAGATTCGTCAACCATTGCCGGAGACTTCCGACACACCGGAGGAGGGAAAACGGAATTTCAAAAAAAATGGGATTTTCTCTCTCAAAAAAACGGGACTTTCTCTCTCTATATTCAAATATTTCAAAGGCCCAAAACAAAATATAAAAACTCTAAAATGACAGACCCCCACTCATTTTTTAATAGGACAATATCGTTGTTTATGTGCGCATTGATTTAATCAATATCGTTATTTAAGCAATTAAGTGCCCTTGCTATTAATGTGATCAGGGGTGAAGTAAAAATTTTAATTAAAGATACAAATTATAAAATTTTAAAATATATTTTTTGCATGATTTTTTTTTTTGAATTTTTAGTTATATATAAATTTTAGATTTTTTTCTAAAATGATATTTTTGAATTAAATTATTAGTTGCAAACTTATGTCATAATTAAAAAAATTTACCCCAAAATTTATCATTTTGATTATTCTTAGAAAATAAGTATTAAATCATAATTTAATAAAAAAACAACAACAAAAATTAACGAAAAAATTCTCAGTAGTCCAAATTTTTATTACATCCGGTAAAAATACCGAGCATACCGAGTGTACCGAGCGCCTGTACCGAGCACGATACCGAGTACTTTAGTGACGTGGCGTTTTTTTTTGTTGGTTTCCGGATACATTCGGTAACCTGACTGAATAATCACTCTAGTAGTCAAGTGGATAAGTTTCTCTTTGAAGAGCCAGCGATATCATGGTCGAACTCCCACAGAGTCAAATTGTTAGAATGAATTATTTTGAGCATTCATTGATGGGCGAATGGGCCCACTGTTAAGGTCCTGTTTGCAAGCCGACCATTGAGATCTAACCCAAATAGCTCTCAATTTAAATAATTAAAATGAATTACTATGGGCTTTCATTGTAACTCTCCCGTGAATGTGATAGCTCTCATCAAGGCAATAAATTTGCAGTCAATCATTATAAAATAATATGTAATTTAATATTTTTTTTCTTTTTACAAGTTTTGCAAAAATTACATGAGAATTGAAAAACTAATTTACATCTAAATATATCAAAGGACTAATACAAGGCAGTTTGGTATTCAATTCATCAAGATCGTAATGAATTCACTAGTCACAATGAACATGCTGGAACACAAATATTCAATTCATCAAGTTATTTTAATTCTCATTTTTTATAATTGCAAGTAGCTTTTTAAAGTTATAAGAGAATCAAAGAACTATCCAAATATTCAAAAGGCCAAATTGAAGGCATCTGTCCAGAATGAGAACAAATATAATAAATTCATCATAATCATGAATTCATAAAATCACAATGAACTAGCCAAATACGCTCAATCCAACGCTAAACCAACCTTCCTGACCCAAATACAACGGCGGCTACTCAAGGTATTATAAGGGATTGGCTACTCTAAATATTAAAAAGCAATCCACCCCACCCTTCACCCAAAAAAAACTTATTCAAACAACTTAGAACAACAACCAACAAGTAGATGACCGGTTCTAGCAAGTCGGCAACTTAGTCTAACAACTCAACAACTTTGATAATAAAATTGGCCACTTCATGTATCGATAATCATGACAAGTTATCAAAATATTATCATCCATATTTAGTTATATCACTCAAATACTCTCATTATTTTTTCTGTTAATTTTATCAACTTTTATAATTCTAACATTCTGATAAAATTTCAAAGCTTTAATCCATTTATTTTTCTTTTTTTCTCTCTCTAGTTTTTGTTCTACGTACCTTGTAAGTCTTACAAATAAAATTATGATATTCCCCATAAATAAATTTAAATTTAATAGTGAAATGCTACAGCTTTATCCTAGCTGCCTCAAAGAATCAGAGGCTGTAGTATATCTTTTAGCTTAAACCTGAAAGAAAAATTGATGACGGGGGTATATGGAGAGAGATAGAGTTACTTGTCATGAATAGTCGAACGTGCTAATCTTGTTTCAATAAAAACTACAAGGCTAACAATTTTGAAAAAGAAAGAAGAAAAAAAGGGTAGAATTGTTCTGATAAAGTATTGAAGCTCTGTAGTCTGTAATATTGTACAAGCATCTATTTCACACTTCCAGCCCCACCAAAATATACTGAATCCTTAACCCTCAAAAGATCAAGTGAAATTTATTTCCAGAAAATTTTATTTCATACATGGAAACCGAAAAAAATCTACCGCATAAGGTCAGGATTGAATGTCAAGGATTCCCTCCATATCAGCTCCTTGATGTCCTCCTCAGTTAGTGATGGGTGCTCAAAATCGAAGTTGAAAGGAGTAGGGCATACTGGTTCTTCATTTAGTTCATGGAAAGATGCCAAATATGGGTGGCATAGTGCCTCATCAACTGCAAGAAGAAAATACGAAGTTAGATTTAGTTGTTACGAGTGTAACTTTAAAACATATGCATACCTGTAATTCTCTTGCTTGGATCAAAAACGAGCATTTTCTCCAGCAAATCAACAGCCCCAATGGACGTATTTGGGAATCTGGCGCAGAATCTTTGCCTTGGATACTGAGGGAGCTGCTTCACGTATCTTCTTGCATTGTCACTTCGGAGAAACCCGAGGCTTGTGTCGTCTGGGGAACCTATAAGCTGTAGATTAAGAAAAAAGATTCATCGTTGTAATTATTATTATCCAAAATATTTGGGTCGAGAATTTAAAATAGAGTGCCATGTTGGGAATAAGAATCCATGAATCAATCCATGCAGAAAACTTTCACTATAAAAAAACAAACGCAAACAAAATTATATATAAATATTGAACTATAGAAATATCCAAAAGTTTCCCAGGAATATGCTCAAAACGAGAGACAAGGAAAAGCATCAAAATATTTATCTGGAATATGTTAACGTTTAGTACCCAACTTAAGAAATCCAGCAAGTCCATAGCTTCTTAACACGATATGAGCATCACTCACCATACTGCAGACATCTAGCAATCCTTCTATGTTACAGGTACAAGCCGCACAATTAAGTTTCCTTGTAGAACATAAAATATTGCTTTGAAAGTGACTCACAAAGGAAAGAATTAAGAAGGGGGAAAACTTCCTACTAAAGGGAATCCACATCACGAGGCTTCCAGGAAAAGACCCAAGAATAATACCTCAGAAAGCACAAGACTTTACTGGTAGTATACAGTTATTTTATTGATATGCAATGGTTCATAATAACAAGTGTTGCATTGGTAATTATGCTTCACATTGATTGTTCTTAATAAGAGAGTAAAGTTGTAAATATATAAAAAATCTCATAAGGCCGAGCATGAGGTTTGACCCGTGGATAACTCCATACTTGAGAATGAACTTTAGTTTAACAAGGTATGGCGTAGGAGCAATAAGGACGATGAGGTGAGGTGAAGAGAACGGAGAGGTGAAGAGAGAAGATGAAGAAGATGAAGAGAAAGGGAAGAGCATAGAAAGGGACATTGGCACCTACACGACTGTGGGTAGAAGAACGTATGTTGTGAATCCACAACACGAAGCTCGTAATTTGTTAAAAGTATTAGTAATGCTAGTCTATGATTAACATTTACATTTTTCTCCTGATTAGTAATTATAAGAATGGTTAGCGAGCGAGTTTTGTATTTTATAAATATCCCATTTGGAAATGATGATGACATCAAGAATAATGAATGAATTCCTTTCTCTAATTTTCTTTTTATATCAACTTGATATGATTAAAATTAAAAAACTAACATTGATACTTTGAGTTCTCTCTGTCCTCAACCTTACCGCACTACCATTATTCCATTTCTACGACCCCAACCGAACATTATTCATCATCTAAAAAAATTTTGCTAAAGACCAACATGCAAATCTTTCACATCTCCCAATCAGCAAATTCTGTTGCTACTTCATCCATCGGATCCTCCCATCATTCAACCCAGGTCCTGCCATTGTCTTGTTGATCTACACCTAAGCCATCGTCCACCCAAACCTCAAGGCTCACATTCTTCACCAACACCAATGCCAATATCCATTGACAATTTCCGATTCATCTCAAGATCCACAAAGGCCATGCCGAAACACTATACCTTCCTGGCCACCTAACGCACCACCTCCAATTGCCCGCAGTCGAAATCCACATTCTCAATAAACACTGAATTCTCTTGCTAATACATGTTTTCCGGCAACTTCATACATGGGTCAACTCCACCAAGGATGCCATTCTTGGTTTCTCCTTGTCAGACCACAACCAGTCAGATCTCCACGCACAGTATTCAAATTTTTTTTTTTAAGAAAAGCATAAATGCTTCATTATAATAAAAAAAACTTATAACATCCTAATGATTCCTCCTTTAACACTTTAGTAAAAGTGGGAGGAATCTTATTCATCACTAAATCATCCCAAATGAAAGAACTAATACTTGCATAGTTAGCACATAGGTCCGCTAACTTATTGCATTCTCTACTAACACAATTAAAAATTACATAATTAAAATCTTTGATAAAGGATAAGTCTCCCAATTCATTGCTACCTTTCCTTATAATGCCTTGAATGAAATTAATGACATTTTGATTATCTCCTTCTATGATTATTCCCTTGTAAGCATACATCCATTCTCTAGTGACCTCTTTGATAGAAAGAATAGCTTGAAGTTCCAAGGAAGAGATGTCCCAATGAATAAGCTTCTTGCCAAATGCCATAAAAAATCTTCCTCTATGATCTCGAAATACTCCTCCAATCTCAGCCTTGTATGAAGTACTTAGTGAAGCATCAAAGTTCACTTTTACCCAATCGGGTGGAGGGGGATGCCAAATTTCATCAAACAACCTAAACGGTTGGTTAACATCCCAGATACCCAAGTTTATACTATTTAAATTCTTAGAAACCGCAGCATAACTCACCACATTAGTAGCTATCAACCAAGAGCTTGTTCGGCTGCCTTCATGCACAAGTTCATTACTAGCTCTCCATGATAAATATACCAAGTTGCAAAAGAGATTGATCAACCAAAGATTTTTGCTTGTAGCCATATGAAACAAGTTTCAAAAGAATTGAAAATAGGAATTCCAAAACCCCATTTGTTCAAGTGCAGGATTACTTCATTTAATTTCCAACATTTAGTAACTATATGCTCAATGTCTTCAGGCTCATCACATCCCCATGGGCAGCTTTCCAGATTTTGTAATCTTCTGTGATAACAAATTGGTTTGTAGAAATGGCCTTGTGAAGAAGTCTCCAACAAAAGTTCTCCACTTTAGAGCTTAGATTAGCCTTTTTAAGCCAATCCCATTCATGAAAGACAATTGATTGTTCTTCCAAATACTCCGTAGTCATTGCTGTAATCGTCTTTCCTGGAATCAAATGAATTAATTCAACCTTATCCTCTTCCTCTTCACACGAGATTTGAATATCATTTATCAACTTTACAAGTTATGGACCACAGATTTCTTCTATCTTCGCTACATTCCAGCTTCCATTAGTAATCAACCTGTCAACCGTGAAATCATAGCTCTCCTTAGCTTGCACGAATGTTGGCCATTTATCTAAACTTCTATCCAATACCCATTTATCTTTGAAGACATTCACAGATTTTCCATTTGAAATCCTCCATTTGACAATTGGTTTTAGGAACTTTCCCCCACTTCTAATCAGTTTCCAAGCAATTGAACCTGAATTGCCCGAGGAGTTGCTACCCATAATTTTGCCATATTTAGGTAATAGGAGCTTATGCATTAATGCATCTTTGTCCTGAAAATACTTCCATGCCAGTTTAGCTCTCAATGGCCCGGCTTTCTTCACACATGGAACCAAACCACGTCCTCCTTGAGATTTCGGTTTGCATAGAGATTCCCAACTTACATAGTGAATACCATTTCTTCCATCACATTTGCTCCATATAAACTCCTGCATAGTTTGTCAATTTCATTCAAAATACTTTTGGGAACCAAAGAAAGGGATGAATGGAATGTAGGGAATGATAGCAACACAGATTTGACCAATGTCAACCGGCCGGCCAAGGAAATAAACTTCCCCCCCCAGACATTTAACATACTTTGAATTTCGTCCAAAAGAAATTGGAAGTCAGCTTTGCAAAGTCTCCTTAAAGCCATTTTGATGCCCAAGTATGAAAACTCCTTTATCTCCTTTAGGTTCATGACTCTAGCTATTCTTCTCCTCCTTTTGACAGATTTCCCAAATAGCACTCCAGATTTTTTTTTATTCACATATTGGCCCGTCCAACTACAAAAGTCCATGATTATGCTTTTAACCTCCTTGATCATATTCATTCTAGCTTCTAAAAAAACTATGATATCATCGGCGTAATGTAGGTGGGAGATCAAAGGCCCATTTGGAGAAATTTGAATGCCAATCGAATCCTTCTTTTGATAAAATGCATTGGATAATAATTGAGCACATAAAATGAACAAGAATGGAGATAACGGACACCCTTGACGAAATCAACTTTTTGCTTCTATCCAATTGGACAAATTTCGATTTATGGATAATGAAAAGTAAGGATTATAAACAAAATCCATAACAAGATTAGAAAAAATAGATGGAAAGCCAAAATATTCCAAAGCCTTGCATAAGGTTGGCCAACCCATTGAATCATAGGCTTTCTCAATATCTATTTTAAAAGAAACTAAACCTTTGGAAGATTTAGAGTACCTGAATTTGTGGAAGACTTCATGGGCTACCAATACAATGTCCGATAGTGATCTACCTTTCAGGAATGCCACTTGCTCCATCGAAATAAGTTTATGAATAACAAGCAATAGTCTATTCAAGATCATTTTTGCTGTTATCTTGTAAATTGAGGTACATAAACTGATTGGTCTAAAGTTAGGAGGGAGATAAAGGGTTCTTTACCTTAGAAATCAATACAATAATTGTTTTTTTCCACTCCTTGCACATTCTCCCAGTTTTGAAGAAATCATTCACCGCATTCCATAGATCTACATTGATTATAGACCAATATGCCTTGATAAAGGAATAAGAAATCCCGTCTTTGCCCGGAGCTATGTTTCCACCCAGCTCATGGATAACCTTCTCCATATCTTCTCACGAAAACTCTCTGTTCAAAACAAAAGAGTCTTCTTCCCTTAATGTCTTCCACGGTTTAGGCCATCCCATCAAAGAGCACTCCCATTCTTCCCATTTATTTTTGAAATAATTGTTGAGAACATTTTCCACCTGATTTTGTTCTTCCACAATCAATCCATTCTCATCTTTTATTTTATGAATAAAGTTTATATTCCTTCTTGCACTAGAATATGCATGAACAAAAACTAGTGTTTGCATCTCCTTCCTTCATCCATTTTACTTTTGCTCACTACCTCCACCATGTGCATATACGAGCTAAAGTAGAATTTAAACTTTCCATCTTTACCTTCAAAAACCAAGCTTCATCTTCAGACAGATACCCGAACTTAGCTTCCTTGGTCTGCAGCTCCAGGATTTGTATTTTTAGCTCCTCTTTCAATTGATTCAACTCTTTGTATTTGGCCTTACTCCAATAAAACAAAGCTTTTAGAGCTCTATTCATCTTTTGGTTCAAGATGTGAGGAGGATCCCCACAAACTTTTCTCCCCCAAGCCTTCTTCACAACACCAGAAGATGCTGGAATTGATCCCCACACCTCTTCG